GCCCCGCCCCGCCCCGCCGCCCCCCCGCATCGAAGACACGCACGGCCGCGCCGCGCCGACACTTTTAGTGCAGGCTTTTCTCTCCGCAGGAACAAGGGAAAGCAATCGCTCGATGCGCCCCGGACAAGACGCCCCAAGTTCTTTGCGAAGGTTTCCAGGTCACTGTCACTAAACGTGAAACGCCCGCTGGCTACCGGGCTGTGAAGCTGGCGCCTCGGCGGGGCCATTCCTCTCCAATGAACAGGCAGGCGCCTCCGCCCCCGGTTTCTTCGTCTTCCTCCCCTCGCCAGGAAGAGAAGAGGGGGTGGGTGAGGGGAGGCCGGAGCTTTCCACTGCCGAATAATGAGGCGCCAGTCCGTTGCTGAAACGGTTCCAGGGGCTTGTTAGTTTTTTGGCGTGCCACTCGGAGAGAGGTGTGAGAGATTAACTATGCGGATTGGCAGATAGCGTCAGGGGGCGACGACCGATTGCTTTTAGGTAATCTGAATAAACTTTCGTGGGATGCTCAGGGAATGAAATGTGCGAGTTGTCACAAATGTAACTTTTTATTAAAATTATCATTAAGGAATTTTATATCTTCTTCATTGTATTACATTGCATGATAAACTATTAGTAACAACATCTTTCATAAGCATTTAACTTACCACACTTTCCAAGTATGTGAAATTTTTAATTTATGTATGCTCTATTTGAGAGATTGCTACTTGTAAGGACACTGCTATATATTTGTAACAATCAGGGCTCGGGTTATGATGACCTAACATTTTTTGGAAAATTACCTTAAAACGACTTAAAAATAAGAGCGAAATGACGTATAAAAGTCGTTAAAAATAAGGAGAAAATTACTAATCTTAAAAATAATAAATGATGTATGAATATCTTTATTTATTCAATGAATTTTACAATTTTTAATAAAAATTATTTATATAAAATTAGATAAGGTATAAAGTAGTTTAAGAAGAAATGTAATCGTTAGCTCCAACCATCTTTCAACGCCAGTTTTGAAAGGTCGAGGAAGTTAACGAAGATCCATGTAATTTTGAGAGTTAGAAAAAACAGTCCACTACTGAAGTGAATTTCCTCATGAACAGATACAATATAAATTTTGTTTTAGTGCGTCATTGCAAATTCATGAAGCATTTACTAACAAATATACGAAATGCAAAGAAAATGCGTAAAAATATCAAAAGACGCATGTATCCAGAAAAATGACCTAACCGTTGACAAATACCAAAAATGACCAAAAATGACGCAATAAGTATGCATTTCTAACACATATATGTCGTGATGAATATTCATTTACAAGTTTGCTTCGACTGCAATGCACAAACGAAAATATGACATGTCATCAGAAAACGAGCCTTGATAATGATTTCATTTTGGGAATATAGTTTCTAAGAACAAATTTTATGTTCACTTACGAATAAATTCTTTTAAGTAATAATTTATATTGCTTTAAATTTGGTACATTAATATTTTCATTTTCTTGTAAAAGCCTTTTTCAGGAGCTTTAAGAGAGCCTGGAATAAGGACTTAAGGACTTTGCATAAATACTACTCAGGACCCCAATAACTTTCAGTGAACTGATAAGCAAGATAATTCCTTTCCCAGAGAGTTAAATGCTTTCTTTTCTCAAAGAAGGTTATTTAGAGGCACGGCCATATGGAAAACGAAATAGCTCTTTACTCGCTCTACCTAAGAAATATCATCTCAGTGTGTTCCGAAACCCACTAAAAAAATTATTTCCCTGCCGTATCCACAATTCAATCACTTGCATTATCGCAACTTCAGCACATCGTAAGCCGTAAAATGAACTTTACATACACTTAAATTATGAAATGAGGAGGAGCAAGCAACATGTAGTTTAGATCATAAAATGCATTCTCATGTCAAGGCAAAAACAATCTGAACGTTGGAAACGTACGCATCAAAAGCACACATTTGTCTTGAGTTCCCCCACACACCGACGTGATGTCGCTCTCTCCGAAGCGATTTCTGGCAACGACGCTAACCTTTCTGTTTCCATCGCGTCGCGCCTGCTTGAGGCAAATGTTACCTCGCTGAATACCAAGGCCGGGCAACGTGTTCTATCACGTGGTTTCCCCTGCATTAAACGCCACTGGAATATAGCGGTACATCATGGAAGTAAGCGGTGCTCGGGTAATAACCACGTGGCCTGTTAACAAGGGATATTTGTGGCGCTTCAGTTCAGGAATATAAAAGAAAATGACACGACTTAAGTAATAAATAAATTTACCTCTAACACACATAAGAAGAAGATACACAACGTGGTAAATAATTGAGAGTTTGAAGCTACTTCAGAGGAATAGAAATTATTAACATTTTTTGATCACCCCCTCATATCTTGAGATAACACCCTAATTCAGAGAAACGTTTCCATGTCACTACCTCACATAGCGTGTCATACATTTCTAAGTTTTGAATTTAAGTTTTGAACCAGAGTTTAAAATTTGGCGATTGATAGTATTAACCTCAAAACGCTCCGAAAACTGCTCTTCAAACCTCTAGTACTCCTCAAATCACCAATGTTCCTTAAACCTTTGCTAATCCTGCCTGCTTCATATTTGTGAATGGCGATATACTAAGTAGAAATTATTACTAATGAAGAAGAGACATCGAAATCAAGGATAAAAACAAGTATAATACATTTATCAGCAAATTTATGAACGATGTTGAAGTCGAGTAAATTTCAGGATTTCTATGGAACCTTAACCTTTTACAACTGAACACATCCTACGTTTTCTTATATGAAACTCACCTAAGGCAACGAATCTGTGCCTAGATGACACAATAGTATGAGCATGATCATCTTCTCAAAAATCTTGGTGACGTCATTTTGCATGTCAGACAACTTTTAGCCAATCGTAAATCATTGAAATTCAATTCACTCTGGTCCGGATGAGATGCAAAAAATGTAAAAGTTAATAGAGACACTTATTTGATGCCAAATGCCACGAAGTGTGGTAGTTGTTGAATTGAGCGCTTTCCGATGTTGGAAAGATAAAATTCACATTGGATTGTAAGGAGACTGCAATATGACGAAGAGTTTTCTATTTCCGTACGTACGTGCGATTTTCTATACTCGTCGGTCCCCGTTCACTCTAGCTCGGGTTCACTGAGTACGGTGACTTTTATGGCTGCATTTCTAATTACCTAAATATGATTATCTAAATAATTACCCAAATAATAACCTAAATAATTTCATTAATAATTACATAAATAGAACTTCAAATTAACGTCTCCCCATAGCACGTCATACACAGTTTATAACTGTTTTTGACGTAAATAAATAAATACATAAAATGAATTAATAGTTCAGAAACGATCAGCTAATACGTAAAGCAATTTTTTTTAAATTGCAGTAATGATCATCGAATAATATACTAGTGTATGTATTTTCGTTTCAGAATTATTCGTAAATCAATTGTATTTTATCACATCAATCACAAAGAAATCTATTTAAGAAAGTCGATAAATAAATTATAACGTAATTTCGGAATTGGTCGTATAAACGAAAATAAAATCAGTCTTCTATACTTGGAATATAAGAATGAAAGTGTCTCCGTGTTAATTACATTTTAGTAGGCCGGTAAAAACGCAAATTCACATCAGCATGCGTTTATTGTGAATAAATTCACTCTTGTTTGCAGGTCCATTTCATCCCCGTACTTATTAGCCTCCTACAACAGAGCACGCATAATTTGGATGTACTCTACTGGAACATAATCGCCTGATCTATTCTCCTGCCTGTTTCATGTCTGTGGGAAGTCTTGAATCTGTAATTCCTCGCCAACAATGGAAGGAAGTAAATTGTATCGGACGTTGGAAAGAATAGTTTGGAACCAAATTACGATAAATTATGCACTATTTCAAAGCACGAACTGCCAGCTCAAATTGGAATCTCCCATCTAGCGAGTGCATTGTCACCGACCATGTTTAATTTGTTACACTCGTGGTTTCGAGCAAATGAGCTGATTTGTGTAAAATAGGCGGGAAAGCTCAAGTGATTGGTGGATTTTGTTGGTGGTGGATAATTTGAATAATTTCCTTTGACAAGTGCGTGCCGGTTTGTAGAACTATCAGTGCACACGTTGTTTGAATTAATGAAGTAAACAAAGTTTGGGGGATGAGGAAGAACAAGCTTTGAACAGAACAAAGAGGCATCACGAAGGATCTAGACCTGGAACGATTTTCGAAAGCGTAATAACACATACATAATAATTATTTGAAATTTAGAGACTTTTAGAGAGCTTTAAAGATAGACGATTTAAGATAAAAGTGTACTATGGAATAACAAAACATCAATGGAAAAGAAAAAAGAACTTACGCAGAGGGGAAATGAAAACCAAGAAAGTATTTCACAGAAGAATATAAATGGGAGAAAATTTAGAAACAATGAAGAAACCAATATGTTCACTAAAAAGATAAAGAAAAGTCGAAGAATCTGAAAAGAAATAATCAAGGTAAATTATTTAAAACTAATTGGGGTAGATTAAAAGACTCGAGAATATTCACTTAAGACAGATGCCTTAGGAATGAGAAAAAGATTACAATAATGAACGACGAGAAGACAGGAAACCTAACGGTTATCCAGGACCTAACAAAGCTCATTAAAGAAATGACATGTAGTAATAATTATGTGAAAAAAATCAGAGTGACATGCCTGAGCGATAATAGGAGGAATGCACTTAAGTGTTGGATGGAAGGAATGCTCTCACTCATTCACGCACACACACTCGGACAATGCTACCTGGCAACAAAGAAGGGGGTGCAGCGCTCATCAGTCAGTGAGCAGGGCGCCCCCGCGTGCAGCGGGGCGATTGGTGGGCGGGGGGTGGGCGGGGAAGCCACCCGGCCGGCGAGAGGAAGACAAGAGACGGAGAGAGAGGGGCGGCT